ACAACCTTTATCGCACGCAAGAAGAGGTTTGATAATAAATAACACAAATTACTCACTATAAACTCAGTATTTCCTCAACTATTCGTCATCTCAGCAGCGTGTGAAACCAGCTGCTGCTTGACATTAGGGCTAAAAACAGACTCAGAGGAAACAAAGGCCGTTTCAGTGATAACGGGATCGATTTTTAATTCCCAGGCTTTGGTTTCATGTTTCACAGTGGAATGTCAGCGGCGTACTGGGACTGAAGTGGTTGATGTACTGGAGCCACAGAGGAACGAGAAAGAGAGCAACATGGAGAATGCACGAGAGAGAAACAAGAACAGCGAGACAGCCGCAGAGTGTTTGTTCTCAAAGCTGGCGTATTGCTGTTGAGGGTGGAGCCATGCCTTTTGGGATCGGCGAGGGTTGTTGACTCAGGCCCGGCCTGGTTCAATAACACACATCAGCGAATAGTGATTCGGAACAACAATAAATGGAGGGCAGCGCTGGCTGGCGGACACAGAGCTGAAGGTAAACACTCACAGGTTAGTGTTTCCTCTCTGACACAGCCGCCGTTTCTGGACAAAGACAACCTGCCCTGCTGACAGCCTCCGCCGCACATTCACAACCATGTGGCAGACACACAGGCGGAGGTTCTGCACTGTTTGCATGGTAGGGTTCACATAGCTGTTTTGGATTTGGTCCCTGTTCACGAAGCTCAGAAGCAAACGAATGCCTGATTATCAGGTTTTAATCCAGAAGACTTGTGAGCAGCTGAGGAAAGACATGTTTAGGTATTAAGTATTGTCAATTAAACAGAATGATGCAATCTTTTAACAACCGTTTTCATCAGTAAAAGCAAATTAACAAAACGTAATAAATTGCAGCTTCTTCCACTGACCGTCACTGTGGCCAGTCGATGTCTTCAGCGGCAGATTTTAATCACCTGTAGCTAATGCATGTCACAAAAGACAGAAAGCATCCTACATGTTGTTTCTCCCTGTGCAGGCAGCAGGTGTAAGACTGAATCGCTGTGAGCCGATGATCAAACAGCAGCAGTTTGTGTAGAGGCAGTTGGAACACTTCCTTTTGGGCATCAGTGGTATTACAACTATGAAGAGTTAAAACGCAAGCAGAGGCAGCCAGCCTGTATTTGTAACTGGACTTACACATCGCAAAGCTGAGGCTAAAGAGATAACTGGTGTGACAGTGTTCCTCACACCAGTGGTGCAGCAGTACTGTAGGCCAGGAGAGAGCTCAGTACCTGCCCAGGTATCCAGTCTGTCCCAGCTCTCCGTTCTGGAAGTCAGTGTAGAACTCAGGACTGATGGCGCCGTCTACTGAGATGATCCCATCTGCACAGAGAAAAACGCACGCACGGGTTTGTGAGTTCAAACAAAAGCAAAGGGTGCAGCTACACCGGTACATGCTATTCATGAATCCACAGAATATTAGTGCCACCTAGGATACACCTGTTCATCCGGTACCTGAGCTGTAGAACAGGTCAGGTCTGTCCAGGATGTCTCTGGTCCCGACAAAGGACTCTCCGTCCTCCTCGTAAAGGCAGGACTCTCCTGCTTTGTCCAACTGACGGTTCTCCACCATCTCCAGCCACTGACTGTTGTACCAGCGGAACTTCTCCGTCTGGATCTTCTTTCTCCATTCCTCGTCATGTTCCTGGAGTGGAGGGAAGACGGGCTTTGTTGGCGGTGCAAACTAGAGAAATCGGTCCACAAATCACTGGCAACATGTACAGCAGGTCAGAATGAGGCGACACTCAACTACTGACTCACACACCGTTCTGCTCTGGAAACAAGCTTTGGTTGAAGGACAGTTTTCTAAGCAGTTCCAGGTTTATTCCTTGTCACAGTGTCTGGTGATTTAATGCACCAGGAGCTGCCGACTGGAACCAAACTCATACATTCTCTCTCTTTTCTCATTAGTTTTGGTCTTTAGTAATGATGAGTGGCAGCAGGACATGAATGTTTTGCTTACAGTAGTTATTTTAAAATTAACAGAGCAACTGTTACACCTCAACCCAAGCATAAAACCCCTAGTTATACATTTTTTCCACCCCATGGACATGCAGCTGGTAAGAACAGTGAGTCAGGGACACTTTCTAATGGTGAAAAATTTTAAATGCTATATAAGGTTACACCAAGTGACAGTCAACTTTTACTGTGAGACATATTTACAACAGAGCATTCAAGTAAAATCAACAGCTTCATATCAGAGTTAATTTAAAGCTATGTAAGGATTTCTGGTGATCACAGTGTTGTGTTGTAGAAACTGGTTCTGTGTGCTGAAGACAGAGATTTAGGATTCTACACAGTGTGCAACATTTTAGTGTGTGTCTAAATGAGAAACAAATAATGGGATGTTACTCTCCATTAAAAAACAGGCACATGGTTTAAGGAAGAGAAAACCTTGTGAAAAACACAGATAGTAGTGGAATATTATGAAAAACAAGGGACCTGTGTGCGGGTACAGGTATGCATCCGCCTCCACTACAGCTAATAAAAACCTCCGCCCGGCCAACCCAGTGCCTGCATGTGAGAACGACCACAGAGCTGTTTTCCTTCCTTTGCTGAAGGGGGAGTGATAAAGGTGGCCTTTGAGACTTTGATGCCCCAGCCCCAAAGATTAATCATTCAGAAGAAAAGCAGAGCCCAGCGGGTCCTGACAGCCATCTGAGACCCCGGACTCAAACGGGTCTATTGGCCCCACCCTCGTCCACGCTGGAGCAGCAGTGACACATTTTGTTACGATTCATCAGCAGCTGAAACAGCTTTGTGACTCCGGTAGCGACTAAACTGACCAGTCAGTCATTAACAGCTGAGCTGATCACCGCAGGCTGCTGTGCACAACAGCTGTGGGCACTGTGGAAACACAGCCAGACTACGGCCATCACTGTGAATTAGGCCTCTCTCCCACTTGGAGCACCAACATAGTTGGTCGCGAAGGCAGAGTGCGTTTGTACATGAGCAGGGCCACAGTGATCAAAGGCGAACATTTCAGGACTGCTCAGTTATGGCGTGTGCTGCCAGAGGGATCCTGCCTAGTCAGGGAGCCATGATGGTGTGTGCGTTTGTGTCCACAGCTCTGCTTTCTCTCCTACTCCGCTGTCCAGCCGCTGACACATTCCAGAGCCCACCGGCTGCCTTTCATGTGGTTCACGGCTTAATAGGTCTCACTGATAATTTCAATGAAACACTTCCTTTGCCGTGCTGCTCTGGCTGGTTATAATATACAACTAATTATGCTGATCTGAGGTCTGGCAGCAATCACACACTGACTGGGAGCTGACCACAGCTGTCATTCACCAGGTGAGTCAGGAATTTGTTGGCTAGTTAAACGCCGGTGTCAGATTTGACCGGTGCAGATCAAGAGACGTCAAGGGTCCCTGACAGCGTGAGTGTTGAATGAAAGAACATCTACAGTGAAGGTCAAAACATTTTACTGGAAGTAAAATGAGCCGATCTCGACCCCCTGAATCTCTGCGTGTTGCTTGTTAACCCATTCACATTTTGGGACTTGCAGGGATGTCCTTTTTAAGGTTGAGATCAACAAAAAGCTTACATGCTAAGATTCTGAACAGCCTCCGTCCAAGGCTGGATTACCAACCGGACAGAGCAGGCAGCTACGCTTGGGCCCCAGACCTCCCACGGGGCCCCAAACCACCTGTTTCTCGGTAGGTTTGGGGTACCCCCATTAATTGCAACTTTGTTTGGGAATATGTCAAAGTAAAGCCCTGTAGGTCACGTTTTATTACTTGATCTTAAGATCCTGCGCGGAAGCATCAAGATCTCAATTCAAAACCTTCGAGGTCTGGATTAATTTAGCTGAGAGTGTGCATATCTCTGTTTGTGTTTAATCAAATGGCCACAGAGCAAACCCAGCACAGGAACAAGGCACATGTTGCTGCTCTTCAACCTGTGAGACTCCCTGGAAGTCAAATCAAATCAGTGCAGAGCTTTCAAAAACAAAACAAATGTGTTTGTTCTGGCTTTTTCATGATTTGTAACTTTGTATTTTTGTCTGTCTGTCTGCATATGAACCAAATATTAGAGATCATAAAGGTTAACAAGGTCCTATTTATTTCCTATACACCATAATTCCTACAACTGGTTGTTGTGTGAAAAGTTCAATAACTGATCACACACACACAAAAACAAAAACCCTCAGCTGGGAGATGTGGCTCATGACAGCGTGTGGGTACTCACAGCGATGATGTCCAGTGTGTTGTCACAGACTTTACGGATCTCTGCGTTGTTATCATGCATCAGGTCGATGAGGTAAGCAGGAGCCTCTGGGATTAGGACTCAAGGAAAGAAAAAACTTTCAACAGTTCAATACCAAATCAATTATGTCCCTCCTTAATCAATTGAAAGGGAAAAGATGTGCTGGCTCTGTGGACAGAACAACTGCTCCCACTCTGTCATGTAAAGACAGACACAAGAGACAGGTGCCTTTTCTAGACTTTGAGCAGTGCCTGAATCGAAAACTCCTGTTATATTCTTCACACAGAAAAATGCATCAATCAAAAAATGCTGACAGAGCACATTTGTAATTTGACACAAGCCGCCAGACGACCACAAGTGAGTACAATTACAGGCAGCTTACACATCCAAAGGGTTAAAAAAATGTTAAGAAAATAAAAAGCTAAATTGAGGAGTTAAGAGTTGCCAGGGAGACTCAGGGCAGCACAAGGAGTTACCATAGGGACATGCACTAAACATTGGAGTGCACCAGAAAACAACCTTCGAGCAGTACACAGTCTGTTTCACCACCACTGAGCGGGACGCTGCTCATAACATCCGTTTTCATAGCTCATCTCACAGCAGTGAACTGTCCACAAGGATACGTGTGTCTTTGATGATTACATCTCTGGTCGCTTTGTGGAAAACCATCTGGTAGAAGACGTAGACAATCTGACACACAAACTCATCGTCCTCCTGTTGGGCTGAGGTGGAAACAGGAAGAAAGACAACGAGAGGATTACATCCTGGTTCATCCATTAAGAACACTTAGGACATATGACTCATTCTTCTCTGGAAAGGGGCAAACACCTACTGTTGCAGTGAACACTGAAGTCCGGGCCCAGAATCAGCCTGACCGTTTAATAATCACACCAAACATGAACTCCAAAAAGTGGATTTTGTGTTAAGAGATTTGAAATGTAGAAGTGTGTCATCGCTGTTTTAACAGAGTTCAGCA